TCCAAGAAAATCCCAGTAGACCAAATCTCTTAAGGAATGTTTTCACCACCTTGTGCTGATTTGATTGAAAACACTAATTCAATGCTCTTGATGAGTTGTGAGATACAAGTGAAAAGTGCAACAACACAATAACAAATATCTTTAGCAGTGAAGTATGCACAGAAACCATTGCAGGATGTATAAAAACAATGAGAAAGGCTAATGCGTTACTGATTTGAGAATTGCATTAAGCGCAGTGAGAATGACTTCTGATTTGAAATTTCTTTATAAATGGATTGCATTAGATCCAAGTGAAACTTTGTGGAAAAATGAGATACAAGTCAGGCTCTGACGCACATTTGACACAAAGTCTCAGCATTCCTTGTGATTTACAGTTACCTGACGAATAATAAGTCTCTCCAACTCTTTAATGTGGCACTTATGAGTGGTGTTTTAATGAAAACACATTTACACGACAACGTTGTACAGCTCATCACCACACACATTTTAGAAAGTTATTTGGTCCAGCATACACCGGTTATTACATTTGTTTTTTCAAACACAGCCAGCTTTAACATTACATGCACATACACACATCCTTCTGGCACTTCTGTGAAGCTAGATAACACTTAGCCCACAGTAATCGCTTATGCCACATCCTGCAGCCACCATTTCAATCCAGAATCATGGGAAGCGGAACATTTTTACCACATTTTGGTGTTTAGTAATATTGTTATTTCTGACATTTTATCTGGAAATAATAGCGGTACAACTCTTGCAAAAAAGCTCCTGATTAGAGCAATAAATCTACAGTGGTTTGAAAGCACCTGATAAGGGTATATATGCTATTTGTGTGAGTGAATATATAGTACAGCAATTAGTCATGAAGCCCTGAGGTCAGTCACTTGAAATCTTTAACATGTCCAAAGCTATCGCTCATCAAAATGCTTCAGTATTACATCCGTCTCACAGATAGCGACAGACATCTGTGAGACACTGTGTGGAGATGATAAACCGGTACATAACGCACAAACACACAGGAAATGAGTCTGACTAATTTCACGTTATCTTTTTGTAATAATTTACATGCAGTTAACGTTTGGGCAACAATTTTTCTTCCTGACGAATTCAAATGAAAGTCAAATATTTCTGACCTAATGGCTCCACAGAATTCCCTTCTTTATCATTAACATCTTGTTTTCTCACGTCTACATATTATGTCTAGATGTATGAGCATTAATGGAAGATATCAGACTTAATTCAAAAGTAAAAAAGACACAAAACACTCACATGTTTGTAGTTTATAGTTTTTTAAGGCTTTAAATGCCAATCAGATGTCAAGATTTCCGGCTTTAAGGGGCTTAGCCATACTTTTTTCTCCAAAATAGCAATCTATCGACAGTGACTGGGATGTTTTATTATTATTTATTAACAGATAAAATTAACCCCTTGCAATAGACTGGTAACCTGCCCAGGATATACCTCATTTTTTACCCTCTGACATCTGAGACAGACTCCACGCTACAACCGTGAACTGGATAAGTCGAATATATTAGAAAAAAGTCTATTGTCCATCTATTAATGGCCTTGAAACGTGTTCAGAAACTCACACTAATAGATGTAGTGTTGATACACAGTGACCCATAACAATCACTTAGATAGTTACTGCACAGGGATAATGATAGAGAGCTGGACTTTTTAGCATTAACATCTCTGCAGTAATTGATTATTTAAATAGGAGCAGGCTGACACAATTAAGAGCTCCAGTCAAACCTCAAATGATTGAATCTTATCGTTTTTAAAATGTGCATAAAATGGAAACGGAGATTTTTAATTCATCTGTATAGAAATTAATTCTTCATTCCCTACAGAGTTAAAGTGAAAAAATCTGTCCTTACCCTTGCATAATAGAAAAAAACCCTCTATGAAACACAAGTGCTCATCAGTAGCAAGAGTTGCTTTGCATTTCCTGTGTAAATGATGCAGAATGCACAATTTGTGTTATTAAAACAAAATCCATCTAATGGTCCAATTTACTTTCATTGTTTCAGCTCGGAGAGTGTTGCCATTGAATGCAGCACGGTGGCAGACGGCTTCTAAAATGTCTACGTCTGTATTTCACGTCGACATTATGATACACTTCAAGTGAATGGCAAACTACACAACAAATCTGTGGATATCAAATATTGTAATCGAAGGAGGAGTTGACAAACATTTGACACGATAGAAGAGCCGGCTAAGATTCAGAGTGTTACTTCGGGGTGAACAATGCTACAACATTCAGTGGCTTTTCCTCACACACACACAGGCAAGAGTAACGGCGACAACAATGCTTTGGATTAGTGAAAAAGATTAATAAGAAATCACAATCTCGAGTGTCAGTAAGAGTGTGATTATGGACATACACTCACAGTAATTTGTAAACAAAATATACACAGACGTACAGTACTGCACTTTCTCTAAATCTACAGTGGAAGTAGAATTCTCTGTTTTGGTTACAGTCATTAAATTTCATTCATATATCATTGGTGTATTTTCTTTTAATACAATCTATTTCATGTATCTACTAATATTTACAAAATTCATCTGTGAGAGCAGAGAGTCGTTTATTTTTTCAATTTGAAATCAAAATAAAATTATTATTTAATATGCGTGTTGCTGACTTTATAGCTCTCCTCAAAGTGCAAGAGTGTGACGGGAGTGGGACCAATTCGCTCAGCAACTCTGCTTTACCAGCATAAAGACTGTCATCATACCAGTATATGAATACACACTTTGAACCATGCTGATGGGGCAAGCACGCACCGACACCTTTCACTTACAGTCTTCATGACACGGTTCAGCACAACAATAAAGTGTTGACCTTGTCCTTGTTAAAGCTACAGACAGCAGTGTTATAGCCTGGGGGGGGTGTTTTTGGCTCATTTACTGATTGACAGTTGAACATATTGAAACAACATGAAATCAACTTTGAAACAAAGTTTTCAGGGGCTTTAAGAAAGTTTCTTTCTGTCGTGTCTAAACTCTTTAGCGTGGGATGTTGTGAACTGGTGGCGTACTGCAAATCATTTAGCACATTTAGCCTGATGACTAATCACTATTGTCTCGAATTTTTAACAGTTATTAACTGTATGTGTCTTTTTGTTCGAGGCAGGTCAGCTTTCTTTATATTTAGTTTTCCGCTCCAAAGTAAGAAGCTTCATGGTGTTTGGTTTAACACATTCCTCTCAGATCAACCGATGGGATACACGATCAGGTTAGCATAAAAGGTGTAATTCAGGTGTAAGAGTGCTATAAAACACATTCATAGAGCTACAGTGTGACAGCAGGTTGTTAGAAACAGGCAAAACCTGCAAAGGGAGACATTTTTTTGGTCTGTATTGTGCTATGTAAAGTTGGGAAAAACATTTTGGAAATGACAAAGATTAGGAACACACGTCTAGTCGGTCATTCTGATGAAAAATTTGTTTTCAGCAGCTCGGTTTACCGTTGTGTGATTTGTGAGGACAGAGAGTTATTCACTGACAGAGTAAAATTTTGGGACGTGCATTTTTCAAAAATGTGCTGAGAAATAATGTTTGGTGAAATGTGCCAAAAACAACTGAGAAAATATAATAATATATAATTTGTTCAAACATTTGTTTTGTTAAGACGTTTTATAAGCCACCAGTGATTTAGTTTTTACTTTCTGGACCTAAACGCTGCCAAGGAATATTACCCAAATCCCTGTCCATTGGCCAAGATTATACTCATTGCCTAGCAACACTGGCTCATTTAATCGAGGAGATTTGAACATGTTCTTCCTTGCAAAGCTAAGTACACTAAAGTGTAATGAATCACATGATTATGACGAGTTTCCTGCCAAAAAAAGTGTTCTTGGTACAAAAACGGGACGCAGATGTGACAGCATTTGTTGTTAGAGTTGTTGTTAAAGACCCTGAATGCCTGTTTATTAACTAGTCTATTAATTGCTTCCTTTGTATAGGCCTTTCAACCCTACAGAAAAAGTCACATATATGTGTACCAATCAAGATTGGGTAATATTTGGTAACAGTTGTGGAGTTGTTAATTTCTGTGGTCAAATAAAATCAACACCTACACACACAGCTAACCTGAGTTCAAGAAGCAAACTCTTTGATAAACAAAACAAAACCTAGGAATGTTTTCCTAGCTTTAACTTTATTGCCGTTTATTTCATATTACTTATTACAATTAAAAAAAACTGGAAGCAGGAACTTTTTAAAGACTTTTTTTGGTCTTTTCTGGGAGGCTGTGGAGCTGTGGCACACTGCTGGGTGTGGCTTTATAGCGACTGACTTTCTCTCATAGGTACAATATGCAGCAACACAACACATCTGGGTCACAAAAGCCATACATTTACATCCTCTGGCTCAATGTCGCACACACAAACGGCAGTTTCCACTTACTAAATACACACGTACAAATTTTCAAAACTCACCTGGAGCAGAAATCATTTTCACACCGAACAAGTAAACATCACAATCGAGATTCTTAACGCATGCAGCGTGTGAACACACCTTATTCCTGGTTTACTAAGACTTTGTTACAGGTGTTTTTGCAGAGTGTAAATATTGAGCTACATGTAGCCTTTCAGCCTGACGGTTATGGGGTTTGGACACTTTGTGCAGAAGTTTCATTCAGGCTTGTATAAATAATTTAACTCGTTAAAACTTGAAGCTGACATCATTTAGGAGTGAAATCTTCTTGCTTTTCCTGTTCCATCATTCAGCTCTGCTTGTGAAAAAGCTCCTGTTGACAAATCCTTAGTAAATCTGCGGGGTTAATGATTGCAGTCGAGTCTCATGGCTCACGATTATTGTGTAATATGCAGTTGTGTGTTAATGAATATTTACAGAGCCACAAAAACCACTATAGGAAGAGAGAAATAGGCTTGGCACTGCTTCAGTATTATCACATAGACACAGACTGCAAAGTCTGTAAGGTTGAGCGTGAATGTATGTGTGTGTGTGTGTGTGTGTGTGGGGGGGGTGTTAAGTGTTTTTGTTGTGAGCTCCTTCTGTCTTCATCAACCTCCTCCTCCTCTTCCTCACTGTGTGGGGGAGCAGTCGTCTAGATCAAGCAGCTCTCTGACCAGTCTCTCTCCAAACTGCGCTCGACTGTAGCGTTTGACTGTGTAGGCGTCAGACATCTTGTATAGGATGTACGCGTTGTTGATGGCAATACTGATGCTCAACCAGAACACCTGCTGCCATGTCTTGTTAGGCTTGTGGAAGATGAAGTACCTGTGTGGAGAAATGAGCCGGTTACTGCTGAATCTCTTTGCAAAGATGTAAATAATATGATTTCGTTTGACTATCTATAGTTATTGTCCAAAAACATATAGGCCCAAGAGATTTTTCAATTTTGTCTCTGGGTTTTTAAATCAAACAATCAAGATGTGATCGAAGTGCAGACTTTTAGCTTTAATTAATTAATGTTAACTTTTTTTACAGTCATACATAGTCCTCCATTTTTTTAGAGGCTTAAAATTAATTGGACAATTGACGGATATAGTTTTATGAACGGGTGAACACGTTTATTCCAAGTGTTGAACTTGCACATTGTTTTTTTTTTTAATATGAGATCCAAAGCAATTTCAGTGCAAACAAGGGCCAAATCAGCAGGTTTAAAAAGAAGAAATGACCTGGATGGCTCAGTAACACCAAAAAAGACCACAGAAGAAAACTAAAAAAGGACACAATCATAGAATTATTTCTGTAGTGGAAAAAAAAAAAACCAACTTCACAACATCTAACCAAGTCAAGAACACTCTTGAGAAGGTGGATGTATCGTTGTAAAAGTCTACAATCAACAGATAACTTAATGAATGAAAATACAGTGTTCACAACAAGGTGCAAACCACTGGTTACAATCAAGAACAAGTGGGCCAAATAAGACTATACAGGAAAACATCTAAAAAAAGTTTGCAAAGCTCTGAAAAAATATATTTGGACAAATTAATTCAAGAGAAAAGTATTGAGCAAGACAGAACAGTTCATGATCCAACCTCATCTGTCAAATATAGTGGAAGTAGGGTCATGTATGGCTGCCAGTGAAACCAGGTCACTAGTGAGATGAGATCAGATTCAAATTCAGACAAATGGTGAAAAATTGATCGGACAGTGCTTCACAGTGAAAAGGAATAATGGCCCAGAGCATACTGCAAGCACAACCCAAGAGTTTATCAAAGCAGAGAAGAAGGATATTCTTCAATGGCCAAGTCAGCTACCTGATCTCAATCCAATAGAGCACGCTTTTTACTTATTAAATTCAAAAGTGAAGGTAGAAAGACCTGAAGGTGGCTGCAGTTAAAGCCTGGCAGAGCATCTCATGGCAAGAAACTCAGCATTTGATGAAATCCATGGGATGTAGACGTCAGGCAGTCATTGACTACAGAGGATTTTTATCCAAATAATAAAAACAATCACCACATTTGAAATAATTTCGGTCTGTTTAATTACTTTGAGCCTCGGAAAATCGAGCACTACGTATAAAAATGTGTGTAAAACCCCCAAATCTAATGTAACACTTTAGTCAAAGCCCCTGAATTAAAGTTGAAAGTTTGAAAACATCTTGATTGCTTGATTTAAAATCCACTGTGGTGTAAAATATTCTTGGTAACAAGTAATGTTGTGTAAAACGGTGCACATACTTGCTATACTTGTCGTCGTATTTGCAGATGTAGCTGAGGTGTGCCGCAAAGGCCTCAACAGCCAAAGGACACGGGATCTCCCCACTTTTCCTCTTAATGATCAGCCCTGACGCAAACACAGTGAGAGGCAAAAACTAGACCCATTTAAACTAATTACCGTATAATTATTGGCAGTACAAAAGTAAAACCCATCAATTAAGTACTACAAGCACAAAGTGAAAAACAGTCACACACATATACACGCAGAGGGGAAAGGAAAATCAATGCCGGATGATAACAGCCTAACTTTTCCTGCTTCACTGCAGCACTCTTCACTCAAAGAGCACAAAAGCAGACTGCAACCTTCATTTAGAGTTAAAACCTAACAAAACTGGATAATGAAGAGTGGATTATTCTATAAGAGGAAGGGAATATCATGATTTTTGGCGCCTCCTGGAAATGGATTACCACGGATTAGAAGCTCGCACTGATTCTCTGTGACATAAATGCTTAATGATGTGCCAGTTTCTCTAGATGGTGACTTGCATCCACAAATGACAGTACAGTTAGCCAAAGTTTCCCCCAAAAAACTCCTAATTCTTAATAACGACAACCAAAAGTCTTTGCTTTTGTGTTTTTCTACTAAAATTAATGGATTTTGTGCACTGAAATATTAATACTTTCTAATAGTAAGCTCCTTTTATTTAATTCCAGGAAAAAACGAAGTTTCCTGTAGTGGGGAAATGCTTTGGGAAATGATCTTCTTACCTTTTTTTGTTGGGGAATAGGCATTGGCAAGGAACCTGAAGTGTCCTTTGTTGTACCAGCTGATCAGCGACATGCTGCCTTTCATCATTATGCGAGACTGGCCACGCTGAGCAGGCGTGGAGCCACAGACCAGCATGCTTTGCGGTAAGCCTGTACAGTCGCTCTTCCTGGTGCTAAGCAAACCACAGCAATAGATATCTGGAGAGGGTCAGAGAGACAAATAGGATGATCGTGGCAAATAGCAAAAACTGCAGTTCCTAAAATGGCCACTTGAGGGTAAAACCACGTCATCAACTATTAACGAGGCGTTAACCCAGAAACATTTGCAGAACTGTGCTGCAAAAAACAAATACATTTTAATTTGAAAATGCAGTAGATATGATTCATTGTCTTTTTCCTATAACTGGGCTGTACAAGGCAGGGAGGACATGCATAAAAAAAAGAAAAAGAGTCAAGTTTGGATTTTATGTTCTCCCATTCTTCCGGGTTGAAGCAGATGTGCTCCAGGCAACAGTCCTGTTTACACCTGACAAAGATAATCACACCATTTCATACCAGTGACCCTCCCCATCTGTCCAACCATCTGGAAATAGTACTCATGGGTGGTCTTAAAGGTGTAGGTGCGATCATCCTTCCACAATAAGTATGCAAAGTCTTTGAAACAGTCCTTTCCTGGACATTTGATTACTAAGAATCTGTAAATTAGGGTTGCTCTAAGGTTATCTCCGGCGATACAGGTGCCAGAGCTTTCCGCAAAACAGCTTAGGGAATTTTGCAGTCATCATTTCTCCACTTTTGAGCCGTTTCCATGGTTATTTGAGGAAGGGTTGTTTTCCAAACTGCAAAGGTATCTAATGGCAGTTCCACCTGCTTTCTGACTCCTGGAGAACTTTCAGTTTGAAGGCTCCTTTTGGTTTTCGACAAGGAGAATATACTGTCATGATAAAATGGACAATGTTGCAGTAGAAATAAACATCTTTACATTCTCTATGGATAATTTCCCCCATTCATAGCCAACGTCTGGAGGTGAATTTTTGTATAACCCACTCGTATATATTGTACTAAGGCTTAAAATGACTCATAATTAAGGGCGAACCACCTTGGGATGACATGTTGCTGCAGGCACAGCTGGCAGCTATCTGCTTCATGCCGCCTCAATTTATTTTTACTGGACGTCTTCATTGTGCTTGTGATATTCTTGCCTTTTGATGCATTTTGGACACAATTATCCGACAAACTGGCTTCTGAGCAGAGAATTGTACTAATAGACAGTTTCTCAAAAGACTTCTGTTGTGTGAAATGAATGCTTTTTTGCAGTCTTGATCGGACTAATCAAATCTGTCAGCTAGGGCTTTTGGGAAATTGCTATGGGCATTAGTCATTTTATACACTACACTAAATTATTGAGTGATTCTTTAAGGGAAAAAATGAGTCAACAATTAAAGTCAGGAGTGATTGTTAGTTGCAGTGATTTTTGTGTATCCCTTTCTTTCCTGAACCCTTCTCTTTTTTTCTTCCATCCAGCAGACACAAAACAATCATCTGGCTGACTGCCGCTGATTTGGTCTCCATTTGCAAACTGATTTCTATCTGTGTAGTACATGCACGCATGTCCACAGTAAGTACTGCGGAGTAATATGGAGTAATTACCTCAGCTAATTAATCCAGCAAGATAAATTTGAAGGAAAGATGTCAGACGATGCATTCACAGGCTCAGAACTGGGCTTTTTTGGGCTGATTCAACTAATTAGAAAAAGAAAATGATGATTATATCTGCAGGCTTCATTTTCTTGACATAATGAAGCTCCACTTGGTTGAGTTTAAAATTGCCAATTATTCTTCAGCAAAAATACAACAAATAAAAAAATTTAAAAATGAAAACTTATCAGAGGAGCTGTTGAGCTGAATGTTTATTCTCTGCTTGCATTGATTGTGTTTAGCTTTTATAGCATGTTCACATTATCCCACTTTCAGTATTAATGTAAAAGAAGCAAACAAAGTAAATGTATATTTTCATATTAAAATAAAAATGTATAATGAGCACAAATATCAGAGTATCACAGCTGGATTGACAGCATTAAAACATTTAAATCCCAATATCTCCGAAACAAAAGCATCGGTTTTATGACTCCCGCCACAGATTATGAATAAAACATACTGAGAGTGACTCAAACACTTTTGATTCAGATTTTCATTGTCAGGTGTTTGAATGAAGTGTCCGGTAAAGTGTCTACTTTACCTGTCTATTGATTTTTCAAGCTCCAACAAGGCAAAACGCTTAATCTTTCATGATTTACTATGCAAGTCAAAAGGCAATAAACAATCTTTTGCAGTGCATTGCAAACCTGTAAGGATCGATGTCGAGCACTAGTAAAAAACACATCCATCCTAACAGTCATGACAATTCGTTCAATTTTTTAATGCTACACTCACATTAGGAAAACCAGTTGGAGACTGGTACTATCAAACTTGGCCACTCGTAGTCATTTGCCACTCAAAGAGACTTTGCTGTGTCTGATTCAGTCTGCTATTGGTTTGTGACAGAACTGCATCAAGTTGGCAAATACATGCAATCTTTTTATGATAATACAGGGATCAACTGTGTCAAATTGCCAAAAATCACAAATATGTTGCATATCTACCTACACAGAAATTCACACAAACTCATTAGTTGCTTACATTCAAAGTCCAGGCCGAACCTGGCTGGACGCAGTTGCTGCTAGACAGCAATTGAACTGCAAAGTCGCTCACCAAACTTGTTTTTATCTAGCAAATACAACCAGCAACTATTTGAGTTGACATCTAGTGATGTTTAGAGCACACCTGCTCTTGATCAGATGATGGTCTGATGACCAACGTCACTAGATGCAATAAATAAGGAATCTGGAGTTCTTCAGTGTGTGAACTGTTATTTCTTCTTCTATCACATTTTTTTTGACTCAGCACCTGCCCAACAGGATGACGAGGGTGTGCGTGCGTGGATTCTTCTTTGTGACTCTGATTGACTGCAATGTGTTGCCCGCTTTTATAAAATAGATGGCAATTATTTGCAAACATTAATCAATCTAGTCAGATTGAAATTGCAGACACTCTCAGACAGATTGGCTGTTTGGAGACGATGCAATCGCCTTATAATGTTCCACACTCAAAGTTCCTTTAACTCAGATTAGTTAGCTTAAATGCTAGTTAGCTTTAAAAAAAATACATAATTTGGGGGACTGACAAGTTTGGTGAAAGCACTGTTGGAAGAGTAACAAAGACATCTGTATAATTTAGCAAGTTCACCCTCAGTATACGGATAAGAGATGAAGAAATAAATTATTCGACATGCATACTGTCTAGCTTTGTAGTTTTATCTTAGAATAGAATAGAGAATACTGCTGTCCTGTGCGTGCTGTTTCGCCTGGGGATGGTATAATCACACCATCATTAAAAATGAATAACCACATTTTTTTAAAATGCAAAAAAGGGGAGGTATGGAGAGATGGAGATAGATTACAAAGTGTACAACAAAGTAACAATTAGGGAAGGGAAAAGAACAAGACCAAGCAAAGAACAAGCAGCAGACATAATCTGCTGCAGAAACTTCTTTGCATACCTTGTTTGCTGAATTCTGTGAAGAGGCTGAGGCTCGTGATGGATGGCCCAGTGAAGATGATGGCGTTTTTTCCGGAAATGTTCTGGCAGAGCTGCTTAGCCACAAGGCTGTGGAGCTGAGGTTTGTTCTTCAAGGTGGCCAGACCATCTGTACCCTGGCCATCTTTCAGATGGACTGCGATCTGCAGAAGAGGGGGGGGGGGGGGATCAAGTCAGGACATGTGGATGCAAACATTTTCACTTTTCTAGCTTACAGAGGCTGCTGTCTAAACCCTAGAGAAACTGTAATGTTCAATTTACAAAATTGCAGTAGAGACTTTGAATTAAAGTGTATCCTGAGGAAGAAAATACTGTGGAACTGAAATAAAAATGTATTTGGACTCATAAAACATCGGGTTACATTGATTGATTGATTGATTGATTGAATCTTTATTTTGAACATGTTGAAAAAGTACAACAAAATAGAATTAAAAGAGACAAATGAACAAAGCTACATTAAGATGGAGACTCCAGCATGAAATATCAGGGGCATAAGTACAACACTAAAGGTAATGCCAGTGGCATGAAATAATATTTTGGTGTTTCTTAGGATATTCTGTGAAATTTCAAACCAAATGTAGCTGGTTTGATCTGTGAGTCAAGCTACTGTCACACCTGACTCTACAGTGGAGATTTGAGGAGGCTTGTTTTTCCAAGATGAGAATTACCCCTTTAAAGCCTGAACCATAAAATGATTGGCAGAAAAATTTAATTTTTGTGGATCAAAATTTCCTTAAATATCTCAGTTTCTGGATTTATTTTCATGATCACCCACTTCAAGCCACTTCAAGCCATGAAACGAGGGGCGGCTCAAGACTTTTGTACAAACTATAGATCAATGCAAGCTGAGCTTTGCCTCCTAGTTTAACATACATGAAGCATTTGTAGATTTGTAGATCCCGGAACATGATGCAGTCCTTAGGGCCCAAAGAAAGCTATTATCAAGACTGAACAAACAGAAATGTACACCCATAGATGGCTCTGTGTGCCTTTTGAACTTTCTACTATCGTTTGGGAGCTGATTGGCATTAGCCTGATTAGCCGGCATCTACGCAAGACCCATAGCTATTAAACTAAGTGGCCTGTCCATGCGTTTGTGCGTGTGTGTTTTGTATATCCCTGTGTGGTACACTGGCTAATGGAATCTCATTGATTCGCTCCATTAACTCATTTTATTTCTCTGATTTCCCCCCCCCCCCTCTCCCTCGACGCAATTCATTTAGACACAGAATTCAATGGAGACACACGTCAGTGTACAGAGGACTGGTGAACACTGAGTGACTGCCAAACGGCTGCAGTCACCGTGAATGCTAATGCTTATTTGTTAAATGGATGGGATAATGGAATACGGCTTTAAATGACAGGCTCTGCGATGCTTCTTGCACACAACTTGTTTTAAACGGTCAGATTACAAGAAAAATAATGAATGGTTTGATTATTTTAATTTATGTAAAGCAATTTAACTAAATGGAAAAAGAAAAAAAAGAAAGAAGGGAAATTAACATTCTGTGTAGGATACTCCTCACTCCACTAATGCTATTCTGGCCTACTTCCAGGCTAAAGAAGGAAACACTTACCCTTTAGTGTACACAGTTGTATGCCAAATGTTGATCTCATCATAAAAAGTATCTGACTCTCAAAGTTGTATTATTGTCTTCTTGTTCTTACAACCCAACTGTCCAAAAAGTCTGGTTCAATTTGTGCATGAGCAGAAAAATGTTGGCATGCTCTACTGCTAATCTCTGTGCATTCTGTTTCTGAAGTTGCACAAGTATTGGTCCAATCTTGTCTTGTCTCTCTCATGAGTCTTTATGTTGTTCTCTCTGCTTCTGTATATTTTCCCCCTCTATTGAAAGTGTGAATTATGCAACTGAGTTTTCTTCAATAGGTCGTTTGATCCTACTCCAGATCATGTGTTTACATTCTTTAATCATCTTGCTTTTCTCTCCTTAAACAGCTGTCCTCATGAACATCTAGCCCTTGAAGGCAATTCTGATATTTTGTCGATTTTTTCCCCATTGCAGCACTTTTTCTCTAACAAAATCAAGTGATGGAGGTTCTCAAACTTAGGCCACGTCCACACCAGCCCAGGTAGATTTGAAAACGGCGTTTTCATCTGAAAACGGCATTTTCATCTGAAAACGCTCCGTGTCCACACTGGCGTTTTCAGTCGTTTTCACAGTTGCGCCTGAAACAGCCGAACAAAAGTAAAGTTCCAGTACTGCGCATGTGTGAAACGCAAGAAGATTCGGCCTGCTTCATTTCTGTCTGCCGTTTATTTACTTTCCGGCTCTTTGAAACGTCGCGGCAAAATGTCGAGGAAAAGCACCGAGTTTTTTAAATGGACTAACAATGAGGTGGAGTTGTTGCTGCGAGTAACACAAAAGTACAAAGTTGCAAAAGCGAGTGAGAGTTAAAGAATTTGAAGAAAAGCTATCTGGAGCATGTACAAACTGATATTAATCTTTAACAGGGCTGTCAAAATTGAGAGCAAACAAAACTGCTGTATAATGCCCTTCGCTATCTTTGTTTAATTGGTCACATGACTGCATCACATGACTAACATGCGTCTTCGTTTTCGAAAGTCTCGAAAATCAAATGTATGCGTTTTCGAGAGCGTTTTGAGAATGATGCGTTTTCTTTCGGGAAAAACGTAGTTTCAGTGTGGACGGGAAGCCAAAACGGAGAGAAAACGATGCATTTTTGAACAAAAACGCATTAGTGTGGATAAGGAGCGTGAGGCAATTTGAATTTTGGGTGTCAGGAGTGATTTGTGACACCAAGTGTGAAAGGTTTACAGGACGGCAGTGACATTTGCTATGATTCATGGTTTAGAGACAAAAGGATGCTGACAAAGAGACAAAGAACTGAACCGGAGATGCCAGAGTTGCAGGTGCTCATTTAATTCTAAGTGACCATAATATATGTATATCAGAGCATCGAGGAGCTTGGAGACGAAGTTAGAGAGGCAAGGCTGAGATGGTTTGAACATATGAAGAGGAGGGATGACAGATATATTGGACAGGGGATATTGAATATGGAGCTGTCAGGCAGGAAGAAAAGAGGAAGACCAAAGAAAAAAAATCATGGATGTAGTGAAGGAGGAAATACAGAGGACGGTGTGAAAGAGAAGGATGTTGGGTATAAGGGGTAGATGACCCGCTGTGGCGACCTCTAAATTGAGCAGGAACAAGACTTTCGTGTTTAAGGGAAAATAAAATACATACTGCATTTGTGTTTGAGCTCCTTTATTTTTACTTTAAAACCCAGAAGACTTTAAAAACGAGTTCTCAGCCTTCATTGTTGGTGGTCAGAATAAGATTTAGGTTAAGGTAACGGTTGGGGTTCCTATTTACTTGATGACATAGCTGTGGTGATTGTTGACCAAATAAACCAAAAAACAAACAAACAAGTTTCACCCTATAAAACTCTTCCTCTAACAGAAGTGATATGTCTGAGTAAGTAGGGCAGTCTTTCTGGAAATATGTGTTGATGTTGAATTTTTAATGTTGTTTTTCATTGCTGTGAGCACAAGTGAAATTCCATTCATCTCCACTGAGGGAGCAGAAGCCTTTAACTAATAAACTGTAGCTGGGTATCACTGGTATTAAAAACATGGTCTCCTGTCAGGTATACCAATGCAAATGTTTGTGTGTTTGCTTGCGTGAGCTTGCATATGTGTGGGTGGCTGAATGTGGGTGACCTGCACAACATGCACACTATGATTAACACTGAGGAAGGCTGATGCATAAAAAGTGCATCAAGTTTAGCAAAAAACAAACAAAAAACTGCACGAACAAAATCTTTTGGGGCATGTTCTCTCTTGTTTCCCCCATGTCATACTGTGTATGGTTGTGTGTGTGTGACAAATTAAATTTGAATTTGAATTTGTTTTCCCACTGTATAATGAGCTCTGTAATGCTCAGAGTTGGACAGGTCTGTTAGTCCTTCCATGCAGGGTCTCAGTTAAATGGGTGTATTACATAACCAACCGGCGTAGGAGTGGAAGGTTGCAGTAAGGACAAGGTTGTTAGTCAGAGCAGCTCTGCCTGCCTGAGATGTGCCTGCTTGAGCTAGTAGCGCTTCCACTCAAAACCAACATCAAAAGACAATATTTTTTACCCAGAAGGCTTTTCATGAGATCCATTTTAAACTCAAACCGTGCAGTTTGTTGCACATAAATTTACCAGTATAAAAAATATATATAATAATTTTCTGTGAAAAGTAATAGATTGAATGCTAAATGATGCAACATTCAAAGAATAAGATTTGAAATCTAGCGAAGATCAAAGCCTCTGATATTTTCATGAAAGCCTTTCTTACTTGACTTCAGGCACGCTCGAGACTTCTGTATGCCATATTTAATAAAACAAATTTTATATTTCTGCCATGAAGTTGCAAAGCAGCAAATCAAAATAGAATCAAAGCAGACAAAGACATGCAATCATTTCTTTTTCATCTCCTCTAATGTAATTTTTCACTCTCAAATCACACCTGAAACAATTGTGATTTTGAAGGAAGTTTCCCACCTCCGTGTCTCCAAATCACATACAAACACATCGAGTATTGTGTGCAGATACCTGACAGATAAAACCGGTGGAGGTGCACTGTCGGACCCAGAGGCTGAACTTCCTCTTCTTTCTCTTCCTCAGCTCTCTTTCTGTACAAGTGGCGATGAACACTGGGTCCTCATCTATCAAGGGCTCATGAAGAACCTGAAACATGGGTCTAAGTGAATTTTTACATACATACATTGCATAGCCTCATCAAAAGCAAAAAGGTGCTAATGAACATAACTAGTTTTCCCTTGTGAGGCTTCCTGTGTGAGAGATAAGAATGAGATTGTGTATGATTTAATACCACACCAAGAGTTTAAAGAGAGAAGGCGGCCAACTGAAGATTCTCGCAAGTCCTGTATGTGTTTGAGCGTGATAGTAAAAAAACAAAAAACACTTTGTCAGCAGAAACATGTTCTCACTCGTGCAGCTCTGTTTGCAAACCCCTCCGAAAAATAACTTTTGCCTTGTCACTTTCACTTCATTTTGATGTTTCATCTTCACGTTGTCCATACCTTTTACATTTATGCATTATAACTTCCTTCTCTGCCTGGATTCATCCAAACAGTGGAAGCCTTTTTATATTTAGTTTTCTTTTTAGCATGGATGATTCTCCATTCAAATGAAAATAGACAAAAATATATAAAAAACAAAATAAAATCCCCAAATAAATAAGGTGTGACTAACTTTTTCTC